TTAGGGGTCTGAAATCTCTGGTATTATTAATCGTCTACGTTTTGTTTAAAAGGTCTACTAGGTATGGTCCGTTAGCGAAACCGGTTTGAAATAAATAATGTTAATACCAATACGTGATAAATGATATGACTGAGAACGTGCGTGTTGCCCCTGCTCTGATAAACCAATCATGTGTGACATGAATCATCTTGGTGGCTCCTATAAAGTTCTGTTGCCCTGGTATTTTTGTAGAGAACTGCAAAACTATTGTGGAATAACGACCCAACTCAAAATTACGCATGCAGTGTAGTTTCCTAATGCCTTGGTAGGTACCTAATTTTAGTTTTTCTGCAATTACACTTATCTAATCCTCCTAACATCTACCTAGCTAGGTAGTCACGTAGAAAAAACAACGCAACACCACAAAACTTACGTGTTTCGTAACATCCTTCATGTCATACCCATGGCCTAATTTTCGCAAGGCAAGTGGAAAAAATACCTCATTTGTGACAACAGCTGTCGAAATAACGAAGTAGTAAATTAAAAAGTAATTTTGTTTGTTTTAAATGTATTATTTATCCACATACCACATGTATCAAAACATAGAGCAGTTTGTACATATATTCGATCTCTAAATCCAATATAAAAAAAAAATATATATATTTATAAAGAAGCTTGACTTAATCTTGAATTGTTTAACATTGACATTTAAACACTGGCTTCAGCTTCAGGGAATGAATCTCATCGCCACTCATTGCCATTAATCAACAACCACGTCATTTAACGCTCCTCTCATACGTTGAAGGTAACTCTACGAGTGTTATGTACTCCTAGTATTCATGAACCCGAGCGTACGCCGGTGTCCTCGCGTTCGCGTGGCGTCATCGTGCCAAAACTAAGTTTAGATATGTAGTTATTCTGTGCGACACGACTTTATGATCAATCAACACATAGAACTATGTATCAGGCATCCATCATTTTTTTTTCCGACTTCTTCAGCATTTCTGAAGTCCTATTATAATGGAAAAGAACTCTCAACTTTTGTGCAACAACGACGCAACTCGCAAATTATGAAAGGAACATATAGGTAAATACTATTTTGTTGGTGTATGACAACAACATGAATAAACACAGGGCAACACACATTATTTCTTTACTAACTTCTTCAATATTTCTGAAGTCCTAGTATAATTAAAAAGAACTCTCAACTTTTGTGCAACAACGACACAAATCGAAAATAATTGGCACATAGACTGTGGTGTGGTGGTCTTTGGTCTTGTGGTGGTGGTGTGTGATAACAACATTTTATTTAACACAGGGCACCAGCATCACTATTTTTGTAATCGGCGATCATTATTTCTTTTCCGACTTCTTCAACATTTCTGAAGTCCTAGTATAATTAAAAAGAACTTCTCAACTTTTGTGCAACAACGACACAACTCGACTGTGACGACAACAAACTCGCCAGCTCGCGCGTGCAATTGTTCTTGTTATTGTATTATGATATTGATATTGTTGTTGTAGTGTAGGTACCTACCTACCCTACACTACAAAAAATATCATACAATACCTATTGTATAATATTTTTTTGTGTTTTTAATGAACCCATCGATATATGGGGCTCTACTATACATACAATAAATAAGGTGCTTGACATTATGTAAAGGAACAGGACGGAAGATCGGGATAGTTTTTAATATAAAGGGAACGGCTTTTCCTCGCAATAAGTTTTGTCTTCTTTAGTTAGTTTTTTTTAATCTATTACAAAACTTAAAAGCTTAAAACTTAAAATAATGACTATATCGAACGAGCTATTTATTAGCTAAAAAAAACTACTCCGTGTTTGCATGAGAGGAAATCCGTCGATACTATTAAAGAATATCATAAAACTGTGTGCCAGTAATAACCCACATTTAAAGAAAATCTAACAAACAAAACGCATGGTCAAAGTTGAGAGATACCTAAATAAAATAATTTTATGTAATCATACCCACCAGTTATTTGAAAAGAAAAATAAGATTGATAGTAATTTCATTATAATCCAACTGTAATTAGTTACGAGTCTAGTCAGTCAACTCGTGTCAGCTTACTACATAGTGTACCCTATAACTGGTATAACTATGTAGGTAGGGTAAGAACGCCTGTTCTCATCTACGAGCCATGAATGTAGCTAGCACTAGCCAAGAGTAGGAACGGGGTGGTTTTTCACACTTTGACACTCCCTCCCGCCTCACCTAGGCGGGAGAAGCCATTCGATGATTTTGCCCCCTTAAAAAAAGCCTTAAGGTAAGGTCAAACCGATGTGTACTGAATACTACTTACATAGTGATAATTTTCTTATTATCAAAAATTTTAAAGGGCATTCCGTAACATGGACGCGAACTGATGGGTGGCCACGAACAGGCGAACTTACCCTATGTAATTATGAGTTAGCGACATTTTTTACTGAGTTTTGTAATATCGCTTGAGAGCCGGATAACACGACCACCATGTTCTTAGAAATAACTACATCGATACCTATATTGTTATCTAATTGTATATCTATAATCTTGTACGAGAAAACTTCGAGAATTGTGGAATAACAAATAAAAAAATAACAACCAGCTATTGACTTGGATTTTAAAAAAAATATACGAAAACAGCTAAGTAAACAACATAAGTACTACTAAGGTCATTAACACCATGACTATTATTATTATTATTGGGATAACCATGGGCATTAGGAGATCACCTGATCCTGATATATCTTAGCTATTTTGTCAAACAAAATTATAATATACTATTTCCTTTTTTTTTTTTTTTAATGGGGGGAAATCCTCATGGACTGCCTCCGCCTGGGGAAAGGCGGAGGGGTGTGCCGGACTCTTACCGGCTAAAACCACCCCAGTGTCTCCTCACACGTGCGTGCGGGGCCACGGGAGTCCAAATTCATCCGCAGCCCCGCATTACAGTGCCGGCCCGTATGTCAGGGCCCCGTCACCTGCACGGAGCAGTGCACCACGTGCATCGCCTCAAAGGCGCACGCCGACACCCGCGCGCGCCTTCGACTCGGGTCTTTGAAGTCGGGGGCGAGGACTTCCCCAAGTCCTTCGCCCCTGGACCCATTTATGGGGGCCGGAAGAGGGCGTTGTCGGCCCTTCTCCTACGCCCGGTGCGCCTTCTGCGGTTGGGAAAGGAAGTCAGTAAGATCTCCCTCTCCCGTTCCGCAGTTTCCTTCTGCGACATCACATCCTCGCAGAAAGACACCACCGCGTCCCACGACTCTGCGCTGTCCACCATCTTCCGCACTACGGCCGGCAGCGACAGATCGCTTCCTACTTCATTTCTGAGGACACGGCGCTGCTCCTCCCAAGCTACACACTCGGCGAGCGTGTGTTGCGCCGTGTCCTCCCCGCAATGGACGCAGTGGTGGCACCGGGCGTCCGGCTCCCTCTCTATGCGGCACAGGTACTTGCCGAAGCAGCCGTGCCCCGACAGCACCTGCGTCACTCTAAACGACAGGGAGCCGTGCTTCCTCCCAAGCCAGTCGTCGAGTACTGGCCGGATCGCCTCGACGGTAGCGAGGCCGGCGGTGGGGCGCAAAAGCCTTTGCCGCCATTCCGCCACCAAGACCTGACGGAGCTCCTCTCGGCGCCGCTCGATTTGGCGCTGCACCGGCCTCGAGCCCCGTGTCCGCTCTTCCTCGCGCCATCGGTATAGTGACGCGAGTACTTTCGCCTCTAGGTCCCAGGGCGGGGATCCGGCCAGGACGCAAGCCGCCTCGTAGGAAATCGTGCGATACCCGCGGACGACTCTGACAGCCATCACCCTCTGCGGTTTTTTCAGAATAGCGAGAGTGTTGGCCGTCAAGTCTAATGCCCACACAGGGGCCCCGTACAGGGCCATGGATCGCACGATTCCCACATACAGCCGCCTACAGGCGGCGCTCGGGCCCCCCAAGTTGGGAAGCAACGTTGAAAGCGCGCCCGTCGCACCCATCAGTTTGGGCGCCAGCCGCCGGAAATGGGGTCCGAATTCCCATCGGCTGTCGAGCACCAATCCCAGATATTTCATGGTGGACTCGACAGCTATGCGAGCCCCGCTGACCACGATTTCCGATCCCGGCGCTGGTGCACGTCGGGGGCCGTGGAACACCATGGCCTCCGATTTGTTCAGGGCCACCTCCAGGCCCAGGCGCCGGATGCGGTTCACAACCTGTGACACCGCAGCCGTGGCTATCAACGTCGCCTCCCTATGCGAGCTCCCCCGGGCGGTTACGAGCGTGTCGTCCGCATAACACGTCAAGTCAGCGCCCAAAGGGAGCTCACCTCTCAGCACCCAGTCGTACCCAATGTTCCACAGGAGTGGCCCTAAGACCGATCCCTGTGGAACACCGCAAGACATGAGGTGCCGACCGACACCGTCACGTCCCCGATAGGTGACACACCTGCCCTCCAAAAAAGCCCCTACTATACGGCGGAGGTAGAGAGGCACGCGATGGTATTTTAGTGCCTCTCGAATACAACTCCAGGGTAGGGTATTGAATGCATTGGAGATGTCCAAAGACACCGCCAGTACCACCCCACCCTGGGACACCAATATACTATTTCCTAATCTATGTAAAAGGCAATTGAAAAAGCTGACGATCAACCTTCAGAAATGAAGTCGCACTACAAGAAGAAAAATATAGAAGGCTGACAAGGTGACAACTAACATTTTGAAAATTGGTATAAAATCAATTGCTGTGCCGTTACTTTAGTACCATCTAAAACTCGAAAGTAAAGTGAAAACCGCTTAGTTTTGATTGACTGATTTGGGTGAGTCTCTATCACTGAGGTATAGCAAGTGACTGGCGCCAGTCACATAAGCAACTACATAGTTGGTAAAACTACGATCCGCTAGTAACTAAATTTAGAAAGTTTGTAACAGAAAAACAAAGCACTGGAAAATCACCACATCAAGTCAATTGTGACACGAGAGATATTTAGTAAGAATATTTTTTTAATATTTTGTTCTTTCTAATTTTCAGAGGCCCCTGAGTCATGTCGTTTATCGAGATCGCCTTCCAAGCCGAAATAAGTCGATACGAAGATTCAGAATTCGAAGAGTATGCAAAAAGACATTGTAATGAAGATCCAGATACTAGGGGCAAAGTAATCGAAGAGCTGCGGCGATTGATACGCGGTAAGTGTAAAACTAAAATACATCTCTTCTAAATGAATGAAATTCTAGTACTTTTAACATTTTAACCGATCAGTTTAAAAAAAAGAATAACCCGGTTTCTGAAAGGATAGACGCTAGCAACACAAAATTTTACTAATCACCTGTTAAATCTCTTGCCAAAGTGTCATTTGAGTTAAATGTGTGATCTATCACTCTTTTTATTATTAAACTAGCGGTTGCTCGCGACTTTGTCCGCGTAGAATTATGACTTCTAGCAGAAGTCATTATTAGGTAAAAGTCAAAGTCTTTTGAATTATTAGTCTTTATCAAGGGATATTCTACGGTAACGAATGTCGTCAGAATTTATTGAGTACTTAGTATAGGGCTCCTCCCCCGTAGATGATATAGCCTAAGTATATGATGACCCAACTTATCAGTATTATTCATGGAAAATTTGAAGTAAATCTATGCAGCACCTTTTGAGATCATCCCGGACATACATACAGACAAACAGACAAAAATTCCAAAAACCATATATTTGGCTTCGGTATCGATTGTAAATCACGCCCCAAGTATTCTTTAAAAAAAATATTTAATGTACAGTTTTGACTTTTCACTGACTGTTGCCCGCGCCTTCGTCCGCGTATATTAATGCACTAAATAATGACTTCTGGCATAATTTAGGCTTTTGAATGAGTCTTTATCAAGGGATATTCTACGGTAACGAATGTCGTCAGAATTGATTCAGTACTGAGTATAGGGCTCCTCCCCCCTTGAATGATAGCCTGACGCTAGTTTAATGTGCTTGCTGTTTATGCAATAATAATAAAACTCTTACTGTTTGTTTCAGAACGAGGAGAATGCAATCCCCGACGAACAGATGATGCCTATTTACTTCGGTTCCTACGATGTAGACGATCCATACCTGCGTTGGCGCATAAATTAGTGAGTTAAATAATACTTTTAAAAATATTCTTGACCTACATTTTTGGGTGGTAGAAAAACAATAGGAAATATGCTGTAGTTTGACCCAGGGTCGTGTTTGGAATATCTCAAATGCTTAAAATTGTTGTTTTATGAAGACATAAATGTTTTATGTTATTTGTTAATGTTAACTTGCAGCCACTCTGCCCCGCTTATAGATGGGTCCATCAGGTAGGTAATCTTGCAAGTAAGCTACCAGGCGCACAACAACCGTAGGTACCTAATTAGAGCAATGACCCTCGTAGAGCGATATATATAGAACTGGTTTACTATTTTAATGTTAAAATTAACCGATGTAACATGACCGTACCTCGATTAGTAGCACTGCAACATCAAAGTTGTAAACTAAGATTAATTATTTATTATTATAACTTCCCATTATTTTAAACATCCATCTAATGATTAAAATCAGAATAAAATCTTATTAAATAAAGCCATTTATTTATCCGGGGAGTATGAGATAGTTGCGATATCTCTGAATCGGGTGTCGTCGAAGATCGTGATACATTGATGGGCTACCCTCATCACTGTTGAGAAACAGCTGAGCTGACAGCCGGCTATTATCTGCAGTAGTTTGATAACAAGCACAAGATCGATCGAAAACAGACCTTCGATTAGTTTTAGCCAAGTTTTATTTTTTCTGTACTTGTGTAATTAATTATTATAGGAAGTCCAACCAATGTCAACACGTAAGAAACAAACTTACTACTATTAGTACTAGCTATTTATTCATGTTGTCCGGGTATTTTTATTTGTGTCTGTACCAAAACTAGTTTTAAAAATAAATTGACTAAAACCGATTTTAAAACTTTTTAGTGCGGTCAAGTTTTTGTTTGTCTGGTTCTCTAATAAACATGATATTCAACTTTTTATAATAATAATAGCGTATAAAAATAACGGTAATTTACAAAAAATATTATATACTATACTTACCCATATCAATCAAAAGCTGCTAATCAAGTAATTACACTAGCATTTTAGGAACAAAAAACAGTCTTTGTGAGTCTTTATTCATCCCATATTGACCTATACAGAATATTGAGTGCCTATGTTACTTCACCTGCATACAATGAAGGCAAAATAAGACTTATTTACTAACATCAATCTTACAAACAACTGACGAATGTAATTTTCGTTTTATCACGGCTCAATATTATCTATAATCTCAATCAAAGAATCAAGGACTATCTAGCTATTCCTAGGTAAGAATGGCATCAAAATCGGACTTGGATTAGATCGTTATACGCCGTCCAGTCACCTGTGTGTGCTTCCTTGACATCAAAACGTGTGTCGCCTTTCAAAAAGCCTTTAATGAACTCTAATCTTACTAACATGTGTATTTGATGGATTCTAGAATACTCCTAAACGTAGATAAGAACTTAATCGACGTATTGTGAACTATGAACAATTGATGTTTATGTTAAATTATTATGTTCTATTTTATTCTTATTTATTTAGTTATTTATTTATTACAACTTTTAGTTTGATTTGTAGGTATATATTACATTTATGTAGGCATATAATATATATATTTATTTATTTATATATATATATATATATATATTTTATATACATATTATGGTTTACACATTATTATTATTATTTTAAAGTCATTAAATTGTACACTAGACGACCCATATCTGTCTCCTATTACAGCTCCATCCAAAGGTTGTCTGGAAGAGATCGCCTTGTGCGATAAGACCGCCCATTGTGCACTATATCAATTGTTTGTTGTCCTTTATGTTTATGTGGTGTACAATAAAGAATATTATTATTATTATTATTAAATTTGTCAACTTATTTCATAATGATTAACCCGTCGAGTGTCCGCGTTCCTTATGATCCAACGGGGGCACACTTGACATTTGGAGAAAGAAAGAAAGAAAATGCATTTATTTGGCCATTGGCACACGAAAACAAGGATCATCACAATAGAAATAAAACAAATACAGTCAAAATAAAAACAAAACATTAATAATAGATTTTATAAAAAAGAAAGCAGCATGGAGCATTTTTTCTTATGATCCACCGGGTGCTCATAAGGACGCTCGAGGGGTTAAAGCGATCTTCCTGTGTCCAAATTTCGAGTTTCTCAGTAAGTAAGTCGTTCGGTGTTATGATTGAATCCAGGATTTTAAAAACACAACATCAAAGTGGTTGCTATTAACTTATTCACTTTTCTCTCAAACAGTATATATCCATTCTGTATGATTAAGATTTTTAGTGTCAATTTGATATAGGTTTAAAATCTAATGTAATGTCATCACTGCCAATGTGGTGTGCATAAATTACTTTTTTTTTTCACTAACACCGTAGCACGTTGTGGTCGTTAGAAGTAATTAGAAAACAGAGAAAGTTATGAATTTACCACAAAAAGAGTTTTCACTTCTATATAAGTAGTTTAACTTATACCCGATTCTGTACGCCTAACTATACGTAGATATCTACGTATCTAGAAATTGTATATACAATTTCTATAAGATGGGTTAAGTATGAACTCTTTCACTCTTTTTATCACCATACATTGTCTTTCTTTACCATGACGGTGGCCATCTGATGGTAAGTGGTTACCGTGGCCTATGAACGCTTGCAACACATGAGGCATTGCATACTCCTTGCCGACGCTTTATAAACCTATTTACTCCTTTCTTGAAGAACCCCATATTGTAGCTTTATAGCCCACCGGGAAAACCTTGTCTTCTACGAACTGTATCACAAGTTAAATACTCTGAAAGATAAAAAAACAACAGTCAAAGTAGACAACAGTGTTCTCATCTCACAATTCACTTAGAATCGAATTTAGAGGTACTCGCGACTCAGCACTCACAAAAAATCATGATTACTACAAAAAAAGAAAACTTGAAAGCAATTGGCAACGTATTACAATCGGTCTGAAATATTATCAATAATCTATCTTCTATTCCAGAAACTAGGCTTTCCCATAATACCTAGGAACCTAAGTCCTTTACGAGAAATTCCAGATCTTTTACAAACCTTAAAAACAGGAATCTAAAGGCATCGGTCTGATTTATAACGTCCCATTCGTCGTCCTTTTGTAAGACATGTATAAAAAGGATCCGTTTCTATCCGGTACCTACCAGATTATAAATGAACGAACTTGATTGATGATTTGTTTTTCTTGTTATTTTTTATACAAACTTTTTAAATTGCTTTGAAATCGTTTTACTTACTAGCCACTCTACTGTAATAGCGTTACTTACACGTACCAACAAGTATAGTTTGACGTAAGTGTGAGATATAAATTTAAGTAATTGGCGTTCCATAGTCTCCGCCTACCCCCATGGGAAGCGTGAAGTTATGTTATATAAATTTAAGTGTACTGTAAGAGCTATGTTTCGGCACGAATGGGCCGACTCGACCGTAGTGATACCACGGCCTCACAAAAGACCGACGTAAAACAACGCTTGCGTTGTGTTTCGTCGCGTGATTGAGGTTACCGGAGGCCCAATTACCCCTCCCCCTCCTTTCCCAATCCCCAAGTCCCCAACAATTCTCAAATACCTAATCCCAAAGGCCAGTAACGCACTTGTTACACCTCTGGTGTTCATGGTGTCCATGGGCGACGCCGATTGCTTACCATCAAGTGATCCGTCCGCTCGTTTACCGGCTTATACCATAAAAAAAATCGTTACGAACATCACTAGCCTGTTCGGGCCACTAATGGATAAAGACTTCTTTATCTCTCTTCAGCACTTTACTGAGCTCGATCTTCGGAACTTCGCATCCGACTGCCATTCAAATAGCAAGCTTAAATATGCAAAAGCTATGTCTATGTCTTTTATGAAATTTTCAATCAAAATTTGACACTTACTAGCCTTATATACCAAAAACTTTTAATTAAAATTTTATTTCTTTTATCAGATGGTGCGCTACGAACAATTTCGTCGTGAGAATGCGTATCTATACGACTGCGATCCTTTCAACTTGGTACTAGTGAGAGACGTGTACGCCGGCGTATTGCCAGAGAGCCCCGACCATGGACGGATCATTCTTATGAGGTTTGGTAAGATACAGTGAATATAGATTGAGAAAAAACATTCTAGACGCAACAAAATAAGTTAATAAGACCGTTGCCAGTCGGTTTTGAAATTGTAAAAATTGCTTCTGAGGTATGTCTCCGTAGCCATTTCTCTGCTGAAGTAAATGTCCACCAGAAACGCAACTTACGATAGAAAACAGTTTTTTTATTAATAGAAAAGCGGCTGCCTCGTCGCAAGTGCGACTGCCGGGCAAGGGGTCTCGGGTTCGATTCCCGGGCCGGGCAAAGTACTACTGGAATTTCAAAAAAAAATTCTCATTAGTAGCACGGTGTCTGGAATTGTGCCTGGTATATGGCAATAGGTAACCCCTATTACATGGGACTCATAACATAAATAGTTAAAAGTGGGTGTTACATTGTATAGTGGCATAATGTGCACCTCTGCCTACGTCTTCGAGGATAAAAGGCGTGATGTTATGTTATGTAAAAGTGGCAACTATTTACGACAGTAAATTTTTTTTGCACCCAACACGTAGCGTATCGTAGCATTCGTAGCGTCGTAGGACGCGCGTAGCATGACGCTACGCAGCTACGCTACTGCTACGTACGCTACGATTCTTAGAAACATTATTTTATTAACTGTTACCTATTAGTTTTATTTTAATTTGTTATTTATCATAATGTCTTAGTTATTATCTCGTCTCCAGGTCGATGGGACGTGGACGCTGCAGCCATTGAAGAAGTGGTCCGCTATGCACTAGTAATGGATGAGATAGCCATAATGCAACCGAAGCTACAGATACTCGGAGTCACTATAGTTGTGGACCTAGACGGACTTAATCTAAGACAAGTTGCTCAGTTGACGCCAACCGTAGCTGGACAGATCGTCGCTCTTATGGGGGTAATAAAGCGAATTGTAGTTTGTTCAATAATAAAATATCATCGTTCAATAAAGATTACAAAAACTATTATTGTTAATATTAATTTTACGCACAACCAATGCCATCTTTTATTTTAAATAAGAATTATTTCAATTCGACGCTACACGAAAGGGAGAAAAGTCTTAAGAAAAAGTACGCTAGATGTCGTTGTTCCCCTAAATATCATTTTATTTTGTTTTATTATTTTTCTCCTTTTTTATTTCAGGTATCATTTCCCCTGCCGAATCACAACCTTCATATCATTAGATACAATTGGATACTTCATTCTATATTTTATTTATTTAAACAGTTTATGCCAAGAGCTGTTTGGAACCGCATACATTTTCATGGAAACGACCTGAGTTCCCTACACAAACACATAGACCCTATGTACCTACCTCCTGAGTTAGGCGGCAGATGTCGCCACGTTATATCAACTGAAAAATGGATCTCAAAAATAAATGAATACAAAGACGATTTTCTAGTACAAGAGCTCAAAGAATTAGGTTTTAATGTACAATGTAAAGAGACTAAGAAATCACAGCATTTAAATAAATATATTATTACTTAAAATACTCTACGTTGTTTTATTTTCACTATGGACTTCAAAAGAGAAATAGGACACATTTCCAGAAAAATTAACTATTTAAAATTCTAGTTAGTACGGAATGTGGTAAAGAAAATTGATACTTTTGTGAAATACAATGCAGTTCCTTTTTGTTAACCGACAATATGTTTTTATATTTTAAGGTATACAAAATTAAATAAGTAAACGTTCATTTTGTTGACTGAACTATAAATGAGATCATTTTTTATTTACATAATACATACAAGTACTTAACTCTGTTTGCATACTATTATCTTAAAAGCAAAAATAGTTTAAAATATATATGTGTGGGTAGAATTGATACACTAATTAAAGGATTTCAATACTGGTCTATGATATTAATAAACTAGATAAGTACATACATAGATAAATAGAAAAAAAAATACATAAGGTACCTTATATAAAACCGATTGATCAATATTTAATGTTAGATGAAGAGATGTCACCACTAACTGATTATTTCACTGTGTATATTCCATAATACATAATAATTTATCATATGAACGTATTATGTATTGTTATTTACATGACAAAGCAGATTAAATATGACATTTTACAATCCTATATCGCTATACACTCGTCTATGATTAATCCTTTGTAATTCTTTCTCTACTTCAGCTAATACTGTTGAATCAATGTCATGTATATCGACGACCGCCTGCGACTTATGCTCGCCTGGTAGCATGGCTACAACTTCGTCGTCTGTAACGGTATTCGATACGACGTCAGCGACGTCTTTGTCTACATTATCGAAATATTCGAATGCTTCTTGATAGTTATAGTTATCGTTGTAAATCCTTGGGCCGTTTGTCATGTGTGCTGGTATAGTTTTCGTTCCATGTATAGTTAAACTCACAGGACCGACGTCTCCGGTGTTTTTTTCGTAAGTCTGCAAATAAATCAAGAATTAAGAAAGCTGCTAATGTGTAACATTGGAGGTAATATTTAACAATCTTTTGCTACGAGTACAAACTTACATTATCAGTAACTATGACCTTCCAGACACCTTTGGGATTTTCGCCCCACGTGGCTACAGACATAAGAGGCCAGTTCAGAAAACCTGCTGTTGATGTGTCCTTGTGACGAGCGCTGAGTAGCTGAACTTGAGTGCCTACAAACCATTAAAAATATTTTATCGGCATCTTAAAGTGTCTAAAACTAAAGAGTATCTATATCATACGTATAATAAAACTGATTCTGTACTCATTGAAAATATTAAAAGAATAAATAGTGGGGGACGCAAAGGGTATAATAAGTATAGGGGGGGGGGACGTCACTAGATAGATACCGAAACCAAAAATGTGGTTAAAATTATTATGTCTGTCTGTCTGTATGTTCGCGCATCACGCAAATACTACCAGCCCGATTACGATGAAACATTATTATGATTATACTTTAATATCCTGGGAATAACACTGAGTACTTTTTATCCCGAAAAAGAAAATATATATGTAAAAACAAACTTAGTTGTGCGGCTTAAACTGTCAAACACCAAGCGGTCACCGGTGACCGCGACCTATTGTTCTTTAATTGTGTCTATAAAACCGGTACTCGACGAGTTAATCCCTAAACAAAGTTACTATTCCAAACGCAAATATAAGTTTGTCGAATGTTAGGTTGCCCGCAGCGGACTTTACGATGTAACTGTAGGGCCGATGGTTGAAATTAGCTTGAACTGACCGATATTATAAAATGTGAAAATATGTGAGTTTGTGAGTGTGTTTGTTACTCAGTCGCATTAAAACGGCTGAAGGGGCCAGGATGAAATTTGGAACAGAGGTAGATTATGGCCTGGCTGGAGTACTAGGTACACAGGCTAGGTACTTTTTACCCCTGGGAATGCGAGCGAATCCGCTGGCAAAAGCTAGTTATAAATGAAGAATGAGGTTATGTATATAAATTAAATTCGATAAATAAAAAACTAAAAACCATTAAAGAGCTTTCTCGATAAATCGCATTAGTGTCGCTTAGGTTTTAGGTAACAGTAAAATAGAAACTAAAATACTAGGCAACCATGAGCACTAAACGTCTTACCTTGGGGTGAAACTAAATAAATCTCCAATGCTCCCCGTCGCGAATACTTCACATTTATTGATACTTCGACATGTTCAACGAAATTGACTAAACAATCGTCGTCTACTGTTATCAAAACTTCGACGTGATGCCTGGACCACAAACGAGTATTTTCTTCCTCAGACCTGTAATTTTTTTAATTCAGATCCTATTTTTCTAGCGCCAGATAACTTTATTGGAGGAATAATCATGAATTTTTGACAAATTTTCCACACAGAAACTGCCAGGCGGTATTGTATTCTATGAATAAAAAAAATCTGTTGATTGAAAAGTCGACCCTTTATAGTACAATATATAATGGTCATATAGATGCTCTTTACCATGTACTTTCAGTTGAGTAGAAACACATACTTACGGTGCAGAATTCACCCGGCACACATAATCCCTTGGCACGGTCGTCCAGTTTAGAGCCGTTTTCACGAGTGCACCGGCATTTAAAAGTCCAAAACCAAATCGAACGTCGAAATATAGTCCTGCACTAAAAATACAGAAATAAGTTTATTCAAATAAAAAACTCAAATAAACTAACTATTACTTAAATAATAAATACTGTTTCTCACACTAGTTAAAAATTATTGTCGATAATCAGTTTATAATATATTATTTACCCATTTATTTGCCAGCCTGGATTCGCTGAAAGCGGAGCATACTCTGATGTCCAAACTATTAAGTGTTGTACATCCCGCCATGTTAAATTTTGACTGAAAAAAGACATTAAAAATGTTAAAATGCTTGAATATTTCAATTACATAAATACTTACATCCATTTCCGTGATTATTTTATTCATATCATCATCATTATTTCTACCTATGTCTTTCGTCAACGATAATTAAAAAAAACAATATTGGGTTCAATCAAGTAGTTAAAATGGTAAACGATAAAGGTGACATACAACAACAATATGTTTCATTTCCAAGCTGCTAAAAAACTATTTCTTATACATTATCTTTTATTTGTTTAGACTGACTACTTTTGTATGAACTTTGCGGATTTATGTCAGGTGAATATTAAGCGCACAAAATGTTTCTTCATATTTCCAATATTCATTGAAATGCCACATTTGTAATGAAATGCTTAATAATGGTGCCTACCTATAAAGACACTATTCATGCCAAAGTTATGGCCCGATGTCTCATCAATTTATTATTTCTGATCTAACACTCTAACACCGTCCTAAAACGAAATGAAAAATGTTTCATTTTTATTGTGACCATTTTACGAATGTGACAGACCGTACCCACTGAGGTACCAGAGCCACATAACAAAACAGGACATACACGGGCGCGTAAGAAAGACGGGTCAACTAACTTTGCGCTTAGAGCGAGAGCGATGATGCCAGCGGCCAATGGGGCGGCGGCAGACGTTCCAGTATGTCCCAGCGTACAGGAATCACCGGTGTCTGTCGTAGCCTAAAAGAGATAGCAATATATTATTATCTTTTTTACTCTTGACAATTGCAATACACGACTTCATGAATGAACCTAGTATGTCATTTGAATGAATCAAGTCAGCGTATGGCAGCACACACTTACTATTTTCTGATCTTTATAGGCACCAGAGGAGTACGCGGCAGCAAGCGTAGATGAACAAATCTCTCCGTACCAAGGAAACAGACCATGTTGAGAAGCACTTCCTATTGATATTGTGTAAATACTAGACGAGTATCTGAAAATTCATTTTAATTTAATATTATATAAATTACATATTTTAGGTAACGATTTATTAACACTTCGACTAAACTTACTGACAAATTAAATTGATTAATATTAAATAGTACGCTACCCATCGCAGTTACAGTTGTCTCCATGACCACCGCCATTTCCATTTGCCCACACATAGATGGCACCTTTGCCACCACGACCCTGAGACAAACATGATGTATGATTTATTTTCACAGTAAGTTGTACCTTTTATTTTCATATATTTCTACTGAGATTATATTATCCAAATACAAAAATTGGAGTTATTGTTAGAACATTTTAGCCATACATAATATTTATTTATTGGCCTACCTACCTCAGAGACACCACGCTTAAACGCCTCGTTAGCTAGGCGCCCTGGTCCCTCGACGGTTCGACCATCGTCATTAGGACCCCAAGAAGCACTGTATATGTCCACTTTGTCCAAAGCGTATCCTGAAACCCATTTTTGCTATTTTTTTGTATTTACGTAATTAAACATTTTCTACTCACATAACTACTTACAAGAAGGTACTTGTTTTTTTTCTACTATGATGAACACAAAAATGTAAAAAAAAAACATTTATTGTAATTAATTATTATTTTTGACTTAAGATACTACATGCGCTGCATTGCGTTGCCTACACTAAAAAGGTCTTTTCTTTGGAGCGTTAATTTTTTAGTTTGTAATCTCTTTCCGTTCATAGCGCCTTGGTAATCGTGGTCACCACCAACATGTGGCCGCCTAACATGCGATATTGAAACACGGATAGCCACTAACTGTTGGTTAGCAGTTAGTTTAACTAACAACCATGCCACGTTACTGTTGTCAGTATCCCATCTGTCGGATAGATTTGGCTAACTGGCTTACTAGGGAAGTAGGGATACAAAGTATCTTGTTTTTATTATTTCTGTGCTTTCGACTTATTTTGATAAGATAGTTAGGCAAAAATTAATAACTGATTTAATCCAAAATGTCTGGATCAATCGATCTAGGTTGTCGACAGAAATACTAAAATAATTATTTCTTAAAACGTTCACTGAAAAGATCAAAGGTAGAGAGACAAGAAAGTAAGATTGGAAGGAATCATTTCACTCACACACTTTTGTGTCAGAAGTCTGTTTTATTCTGCATCAACGATAAGGTACGGACGGTTACGTTACGTCACAATACACCAATCTAACTAAGGCGTCATAAAGACCAAAGAGATACACGTAGCATTTCTTAAATGACAATGTAGGTACCTAGTTAACGATGTCGATGAGTAAGTAATGTAAGGCGTATAATAAAATAGTATTGAAAAAACCTTCCCTGTCCTCGCCCTCACGAGGTTTAATCATTCGGCACACTAATTTGTTAAGTATGTGTAATGTACAATTAAATCACAGGTTAAACTTTACTTACATGCTTGTAATTATTATATATTTTATGTACCAATTAGTACAAAAAATGGGTAACTCATCGTTTCATAGGTATAAAAAAAAATTAACATACTAGACATACTGGTACTTACCATACGCCATACGTCTTTTTTATTTCGAGTTAGCATATGTATTCCAATTCAGCAATTCCAACCTTATCTAATTATTCTGTGTCTCTAGTAATGCAAGTACACGATGCATTCATTTATATGAAAACTATATGAATTGTATTTCTTAAATTATTAAATTTTGTACCTTCTTCGTGAAAAAAAAGCTTACGTACGACGTTTTACCTCAACATGGCGACCGAATGTACCAGGTGTTCATAAATTGAAGCCGATGTACAGTTAACTCACCTATCGCTTCTCCCTCTATCCGGTCTGTAATTCGTCCATCAAGCATTCTAACTCCACCTACTTTTGCCCCCCACGCCACGCCCACACCACATTTCAAGTTGTTCGCGGTCATGGCAATCTGACAAGAGTAGCAAAAATTATTGCAATTTCTTATATAAAACCACATTCATGGTAAATTAAATTTAAATAAAAACGAAAAATGAAAGTCTTACTTCTCCTGCACAACGAGTGCCATGCGAATTTAATTTGATGTCTTCATACCTCGGTGAAGGATCTGGATCATCGTCGTTGCTATCCCAACTTATTTCTGGATCCTAGAGATACGGATAATTTTACATTAGAAGCCCTTGCTATATCACAGTTATTTAAAAAAAACTATAAAATGTATCAATGCATTGATATCTATAATCAATGAGGATCCTTTATTAGGATTATGTTAGTCTTAGGTCTGTAACCCACTGGTTGAACTTAAGTATTTTTTTTTACTTACTTACATAGTTAATATTTTACTTTTTACCATAGGATTGCTCACGACATGATGACATCTCAGATGATGAGATATTGCATCAGGTCAGTGCCTTATCAATTTGGTTGCGTATCGTAGCAACGGAGGCTAGCTACGTCGATTCTCCAAATAATGGTGTTATTTAATTTTTTGTGTAGGAGCTCCTACTTTGTTCAATTTTAATTATTTATTGCTAGTAAAAACTGGTAAATTCACTTCTACGTACAAGTAAATAAACACTTCGTATCGATTAAAGAAAGCAACGTTGAAGTTGGATGGGCCACGGGTGGGCCATATTACGCGCCTGTCGCGTCATATCGGCCGCGAACTTACTAGGGCGCAATGAGCTGAGAGAGGTGTCATTCGCTACGTAAAAATTGACGTCAAAATCGTCGACTTCTTAGCAACTGATAATGATAAAAATAATATTATTCACAATTTATTTTCCAGTTTTAACTATTTGGTATGTTTCTACTAAATTAACTATTTGCTAGTAAATTTTTAGTTACTAGCTATGAGTAAAATCAGTTAAAAAAATAAAAAGTAATGACAATTTTTTTCTGATTTGCAATAATTATATAATTTATAACATTATTTATAAGAATTTAAATTAAATAAAAATGATAAAATAAAATATATTAAATATACGAACGATGAAAATCGATTTTATTCCACCTTATTTCTAAGTACACGCAATTAATTCAAACGATGCTATAGTTTTATTCCGAGATGTGCCCTTTTAGCACGAAAATTTCAAAGTAAACTTAACTAAATACCAAGACTACAGAGCTAACGCAGAGTATTGACATAATGGCAATATCTCATTATAGACGTTCTTACTAAGTATGGATTATGGTTGTAATTAACATTAACTACTGTATTCTTTCTACTATGATAAAATAATAATAGTTGATGGTGTTCACTTTCACTGGTAGTGGTCACTGACTGAATACCTCAAACTCAAACCAACACCAGCCAACTGCCAGCTGACTGGAATGATCAGATCAGATGCATGCTAGTACTGGCTAAGTCAAGCTGGCATGAAATTAATTTTGTTTTGCAAAATGTTACATAATTTTGATCACACTTCTACTTAGTAGCAGTACATCAGATATTAAAAGGTTAGCTGATTTTTCTTCAGTCGTATGTTTTACAATTCGAGCGTGGCGCATTGAATACGTTCATTCCACTGGTTCGGTCGCACTAGCAAGCATCGCAGTTGTGTCTTTTTACCACGGAAAATTTCGATATGTCTTCTACTTAGTATCAGGGTATCAGAATAACTAAAGAGTATTTTGTGTTGTTCTGCTTGAAAATGTTGAATGCACTGAAGACTGAGAGAGTGACTTGAAAACTGTTTTTTTACCTAAGTATGTTGTATGGTGTTTATTAAATTCTATGTTTATTATTTAGTTAATTTAGTTAAGTAGATAAAACTAGGTAGTACAATTTTGTTCGTTTATTACTTTACTAACATTTGCTTTGACTTTCATTAGAAGGTAAAACAATTTATTTCAAATACATAATAGTAACATTCTATGATGAAGAATATTATCAATTATATGCTGTGTCTAAACTAAACAAAAAAACTTCTCAACGTAAAAATAATGAACAATGTTTTATACAAGTAACGCCATCTGTTAATCAGGTATATGAGTAAAACATCAGTGAACTTATGTTCCATTTTAGTGCAGAAAATTTTCACCGTTCGCCTCAATTGTACTAGGAGAGCATAACACTTACGTAGTTAGCTCGTAAGTCTGTGTGATTGTGTTCTATGCCGTCGTCGAGTACGGAGACGCGCACACCATTGCCGTTGTACCCCATTTCATAGACGGGCAGCACGTTTAGATCGAGCCGCGGTAAATTGTGTATTGTGCGCGTGTCTTGCTGAAAACAATACACATTATAATTAGAACTTGGCGCTAGTTTTATTTTAAGTGAATCTTATTTTAGGGAATTACATACTTAGACTTATTTGTTTTACAGGTTATTACTTAGTTAATCGAAACCACTGGAACTTAATTTGTCGTGGCAATGCTGCCAGTCTTCCGGGCACGTTTCACGATGAGTGATGCGGACGAATTCTTTGACGCCTAACTGAAGGAATTTGGTATTTTTCTTTTATCCTTTTTTATTCGCTGTTTTAATTTTAGTTCATTTTAAGTTGTATAGTATATGTATATATTCATAGTTAATTTGTCAATTCTATTTAATAGATCCTACTCATTTGTCGCTAAAGTAATTTTAAGTTATTGTTTTTAGTTAGAAAGATTATACGATAACATTAATATCTTGATCTGCATCTTACAATAGCTATCTTTCTTTTACTACTGATCATAAACGTTTAGTAAAAATGAAGATTCTGTGCAATGTTTCCCAATTGGCAAAAAATATGTTTAATTAAGTATAGGAATGCATGTGTAGTTATAAAATTACTCACCAAATACCATTCGTGGCTCCACAATTCATCATTAAACCAGGTTTTACCTCGATGATCATTATTTATTGTTTTCAAATTGTCGGTTTCTTCAAGTCTCTTAACCCTATGCAGTGATTCGTCTGGGTCCGGCATGGGGTAACGTTTGACCCTAGACTTCGAAAACAGTTGTTCAGCCCATCTCACCTGAAGGAAGATAGTTATCATCAAAATAGTTTTAGGTATATCGAATCTTTCATAATTTATGGATCTCTTTGTGGTCTTCCAGGACAGTGGGTAGACATAGATTTGTCTAAACATAAAAGGAGATAGTACCTAAGTTAACTGTGTTTTGGGAACAACAAATTAGGTAATTTTATGATTGTTCTTCCGACTTCAAAAATCATTCGGCTCAAAATTTTGTCTCATACAATATTGTTATTCAACAGCTCATGAATAAACAAGGATAAAACGTACAAATGGCAACTCATCATGCCCGCGAAAACCTTGTCCCACTTTATGGTACGTTAAATATAGCGGCTTTTGAAACAGCCACGTGTAAACCGAGTTCAAAGTTACCAGGCGCACAGATAATAAAGAAGGTGTCATCTTACTAACCCTCCTGTCCTTGACAAGTGCCGACGTGTGATGACTGGGGGTGCGCCGCTTCTTCTCATGTTCATATTTCAAAAATATGTACGTGTCTGGAAATCCGCGGACCTGTTAAAATTGTATTCTATTTTATTATTTTAGATTGAAAACGTTACTTATTAATCTATTTTTAATTATACGCATAGGTATGTATATTATACAAAATATGTTGTTACGTATAATACGTACACTGTATTCTAAATGTACCTACTTATTAAATTAGTACATCTTTTGGTAGGTAACTAGGTACCAAGTAATTTGAGAATTGAACTACGGATAGATAGTATAGTTCTTTGATTCTATTTAAAGAACTAAATAGAATAAACAATCTAACGTTAAAATCACTCCTCAAAATTCTACATCTATGAATTTGACTTTCATTCAATTAATTATCTTGTAGTTAACATCTACGTTACAACCTCACCGTTTATATTTTGTTAATGTTTTTTTTTATAAAAGTGATTCGAGTTTATTGGCCAACAGTATCGTAAAACTAAAACATATGAGTGAGAAATGAAGAACCGAACCGCGTCATAAGCTAGTTAACTAAAACTAGCACACAGCTCACATGCAAGTACCTGCTCGAATATCAATAGCAAAATGAGACGGCCACGTGTAAACAGAGTTCAAAGTTACTAGGCGCTTAGATATTTTAAGAGGTAGCCCGTGTTGCAGTCTTGTGGGTAACCCTCAGGGACTGTCAACCCCTGTAGACTCCGTCTGTGACGTCATACGCTCATTGATACTCGCGGGTGCGGCGGTCGACCCTGTATTGTATTGTAGATACGTCAATGCGACACTACTGCAGGCTGTCAAAACATTTTCCAGCGACTTAGGTACTATTATTTCAGTCATTTGGTAGTTCCACCTGGACTGTTTTCCGGGAGTTTTGAAAATTGGCAATTTTGTAGACCTTGATATGCTCGTACCAGGGTGCAAAATGGAAATCGCTCATCATGATCTATAAAATGGTCCAGGCCATTTTAATGAATGCCATGTTTAAAAACTTCACTGAACTCCCATATTTCCGCCTTAATGATTGAACTATTATGTTATATTTATCTAATACCACATATACTTACAAAGAAAATAAAATAAGAAGTAATAAAAAAACCTATAATAACAAGTAGTGGTTTTGACTGTTCAGTAGTATTGACTGACTGATGACTGATTGTCTGACATACAACAAATCTGTTAGCTATACGCGGAGTCAGAGGTAGGCAACATTAATTGATTTTACCATTGTTATCCTTATCACTATAATTTTAATTAGACTAATTATTATTATACAAAAATAAAAGGAATTAAATATTATAACCTTATAATATTAAATTTTTCAGTGTGGGAGAGCCATGCTTCGGCACGAATGAGCCGGCTCGACAGGAGCGATACCACGGCCTCACAGAAAACCGACGTGAAACAACGCTTGCGTTGAGTTTCGTCGTGTGAGTGAGGTTACCGGAGGCCTAATTGCGGTTCTAATTTTGGTAATCATTAACTATTTTTGGGTCAATTTTGATTTATTTTGAAATCATTTATTTAATACGGTGGCAAGATGAACAAATTTTGATTATAGGTAGTTTTATATTTAAATGGGGTTTGAATTATAGTGATAATTTAATATTTTTGCCTATTATAAGTATGTTATTAAATCAGGTGATAAGTTAAACATAACCCTAAATAAAAAATAAACACATAATTTAATATAAACTTACAAAAGTAATTCAAATAAACTAAACGCAGTAGAAGATTACAGCTGCCGCGTCTGCGTTCATCAATACAATGTTATCAGATAATAATAGTTAATAGTTCGTTTATAGATGTCCCCCTCGTCAAATACACCCCCTTATATAATGAGTTCCGAGTAACTCCTCTGCACTCCTCAGTTCCTGGTATTTATCGTCTGAAACAATGGGATGTAGGCGGCGCCCTAGCACAGATTTGACACCGAATTGGGCGGTTTCAACCTCCCCGGGGAAGATTTCCTTACCCTCACAAAAAGCGTCCCGTCACTCTTTACCCGCAAAACAGATGCATGTGTTACTTCGGTTAAAAATATGTCACGGGTAAAATATTAACTGGTTTTTGTTAACAAACCATTTTCGCTGCATCATTAAAGTCATTATTAAAAATCTCTTCTTTACAAAAACTTACTTTTTAAAAGCACTTTGTTAAATCACTTTTTGAACCACAAAATATGAATTAAACACTGTTAAGTACTGACTCTTATTTTAGCTCTTCTTTACCTTCCTGTCCTTATTTTAAGCTTCTTGAACTATTACTTAAAACTGCTACTACATGTCCATCCGGCATCAATCTTTTTTAAAATAATGAATTGTGTTAAAAGGGTAATTAACAAACTTCTATCACTTCATACCTAATTACTATTTGTTAAAAACCGCTTAAAAGTATCAACGTCCAAAAGTATCACACAGATTAGTAAAAAATGCTTAGTTATTATTAATATAAGAGTGGCTGTATTTATGTAATTTATTCCACATAATATCTACAAATCAGACAAGTTTATTAAACATTGTTGCATACATAAAATTATTGTCTTGTAAAAGTTGTAAATACGAATGAAACAAAAAATGTAGCAACAACGAAACGAACGTAGGTCAGTGTCAACTCGACATAGTGACAACTTGTCACTTGGTGGTTGTGACAAGTTTGTCAGAATATGGCATATGATGCCTCAAACTCACATATGTACTAGGGTATCATAAACGCAAGGCGATAACAATTTCCAGCACACATGTGCCTTATCAACATGCGAGCAATGAGCGTACATACGCCCCGCCTACGCGTGACTTGCTTTGATAACGCGATATGTTACGATACGATAACATAGTAGCACATTATAACTTGTAAGACTCATTTGAATATTTCACTATATTGAAGCACATATACTACAAGACTTTATACATAACTAGCGGACCCGTCAGACGTTGTCCTGCATATCCACTTGAATGTATAAACAAAAAATCATTCAAATTAGTTCAGCCGTTTAGGATAAATAACCGAGACACCGACTGCAGCGCTATCTGCCGGGCTGATTTGTGAATCTAAACCATCCAGGGCGCCACTCAAACGCGTACAGAAAAAAACATTTAAATCGGTCAAACTGTTTAGGAGGAGATCAATGACATACTCACGTACAGTAGAAAGAAAATATAAAGAAGATATACAACGTGTTGTTTTGCGTATAATTATGACAATTCATGACCAGTTTTTTGTACTAAATATGTAAATAAAAATATTTGTAGTACCTACCGTAGTAATTTTCTGTAGCAAAAAAATTAAAAATATGTTACGCCTTAGTTAAATGACTGTAATACTATTTTAATTTAAATAAATTAAATTAAATCTATCTAATAAACAGCAGAAAGCAGCTTTCTGAGCAGAAAAACTGTTCTGTTGAATGAGATTTTTTCCTGAAGCCTATTCTTCCATTTATATTTTCTTAAATATTCTTTGCAATAATTGATTTCAACTCAACATAACAGATAACGTCTCTATCAATCAGCATGGGTGCCAAAGGACCAATTGATGCTAGATGGCTATTGGTTAGGAAGACCTTCATACAAGCAACACACGTCCAACACGGTCGCACACAACATCACGTAGACACACGCATAGAATGTGTACCGTGTACTCATACGATCTAATTCCCTCGTCTATACACACAAACAAACATACATATTGTTATACATGGGAGGGGTTGTGTAGAAACGTCACACGTGTGCAGCACGTGTCATCTCGTGGAGTCATGTGAGTTTTTGGAGTCACATGTGTACTAGGGGAGCAGGAATGGTTAGGAGATATGGCGCACATATGCACGAAAAGCGTGTAGGGTGTTTGGCGTTGGGGTAGGTCGCGATACGAGCGAGGGTGTGCTATGTGTGTGAGGCGTTAGGCAATAGTTGTTTGGCTATCTTTTATTTATGGAGAAATATCGATTCTGAATGCCCCTAACGTGAAGGGGTAGTGCTATTTTTTTATCCTGAATATCCATTTAAGAGATAAAGTACAGTTTAATTGTTAAAAAATTTCAATGATCAATTAATATGTATATTGTTCACGTTCAATGTTAAATCATTACGTACTTATATTGATAAAATACATATAAAACAATACAAACCAAAAAAGATTTTATTAACAATACTTAAATTAATTATATTTTTCTAACTGAATTAATAAAAAGAACTCGTGCATATCAAATAACATTAATTTAAATAAAATAATGCTGCTAAAAGTAAACAAAATAATAAGATACTTAAGTTAGATTCTGTATTTTTTTATTGCTGTTCATGAAAATTCATTCAAATTATTGAAAGCCGCGCGTGCTACGCAAGGTTATTGACCCGTCTCGTAAGTTGAACGACAGAATTCGGTTTTGTAAGAAACGATGTAAACTCGACAACGGTATAGCACAGCTGTTTTATGAAACCCTGATACCTCTCACATTTTTGTTACGTTTTAAGTAAAAATGAATATTTTTTGTTATCTGTGGAGAATTTGTGAAAGGCACATCGAGCGTAAGTGGATGTTGAAACACACAAGGGTTTTTTGTTGCGCAACATAATATTTACTATGAAAATTATTTTGTTATAGACAAATAAACTAAAAGTAGTGCTTTTTCTTTAATTAAAAAGTATTTTTAATTCAACGTAGAAAAACATTTATTTTATGTATTCTTACCAATTTTCATTGAGAACCACACAAGTGACGAAAGTAACCATGACACACAACACGTGTGTTGGCTAAACACACACACACATTCATACTGTAGCGCTCCTACTTTACAGAAGTCCCGCCCCCTGAAACTACGGAAATAGATTGCCGCTGAAACTCGCTGAAAAAGATTTTCTTCGTGTTTCTGTGAGCCTGGTAGGAGCGACGCTAATTCCACAGTTAGCGTCGCCTGAAAAACTGAACGGTACTTGTTCAGTAGGTTTGTGCTATTAGCCAATAGAGGGTAGGCTGTGTTGCATAATTTCAGCTTTCAAAAATGCTAATCGTGCTACGAAATGTACAATATTTTGTTACAGCGCCATCTATCGAGTTGA